GGCCACAAAATATTACCAGTTTGACACCCCTGCCGTAGACCATCGGAAAGTAGTTATTTCTGATGGTCTTTGGAATAGAGACACTGTTCCTCTATCCGTCTCCAGGAGGGTCCGCCCACATGCAGATACATCCAGATATGAGTACCCAGCAGGAAGACAGTTACCCATGCTACACCATGCTTCAAGACAAAATTTCATTTATTTGTAATCAGAAATAATAGATGATCTCAAGGCATTAGTTTTAGGGGTTTATTTAGCACTCATGACTCATGACTCCAGAGTTTTAAGACATTAAGATTTTGAAATTTTGTTCTACATTTCTCCAAACTCTTTGGTCAGGATGCTAATTTAGAATTTATCATCAAAATGCTCAGTAATGATGGCCAGGCACCATTCAGTTCTTCTGGTCTTATGAAAATGGGAGCAGTTATTCATGAAGGCAATTATAGCCACATATTTCATATCCTCTTCTAATTGCTAACTGACTTTCTTCCTTTATTGCTCCAGTCAGAGACCAATAATAAGTGCCCTGAATAGCCATCTGACAGACTTTTAAGATCCTTTTTCTTTTGTGTTCATTTCCAGTGTCTCAATTATGGGAAACAGAAGGAATTCTCCCAAGTTGTCTCCCCCAAATATATGCCAGACTTAGCTGCTTGAGAATGACTATACACTTGGAGGTCATCAGTAGTAGAGTAGGGGTCATTCTCCCTAAGAGCTATCAGCCATCTAAACCAAGCAGACACCACTGTTTATCCCACAACAAGTAGGGCCCACTCCCTTCTGATAAGGATAGTAGTTGTCTGTTTCCTTGTAGGAGACACCAGAGAGGTCAAACCCGCCCAAGGAGTTAGGCTGCCATCATGTATCTAGGGTCCGCCCACCTTGTCACATGCATAACCCTAGAGCTTCCCATTCCTATGGGCACACCCCTAGCTCACCCCCTTCCTGTTATGCTTATGCCTATCATAGATCCCCTTCCTACAATGTGTATGCCTATTGTACTGTCTCTTCCTGTGACGTGTGATTACCTGTAATCATGTCCCCCTAAAGAGATATAACGCTTGGTCAGCAATAAAGAAGAAGCTCTCTCCAGCTCCCAGTAGCTCTCCCTGGTTCTTGGTCCTGAGAGCTCTCCTGCTCTCCAGGCCCGGTTCCCCCCACGTGGACCATCAAGCGGGGCTAAGGTGAGCAATGTTACCATGAATTGTGTCTGACTCCATTACTTGACTCTATCTTCTACCTCTCATGCTCTATGACTTTACTATAATCTTTACTTATTATTGCTGTACAATTGCGCATACCGGACCAGTGATGATTTGTGGGGGACCCTCCCCTTTTCCCCACACTCAATAATTTCTAACAATGGGCAAGGTGCAGAATTTGGTAGGCATACATTAGAAATTTCATTATAAATAGACTGTTAGCTTCTTGATATCTATAACTTGATAGCTTTACACATAGGGTTTGAAAAACACTGATTAATTTCAATTTTTATTTTTGAATTTACTAAGGCAAAATAAAATAACAACAAACATACTGATTAAAAGTTACTAATTAAGAAATGATCTTACTTTCCCAGCCAAGGTTTCTTGGAGAGTGGACCTTCCAAACCACTCATAGCTCTTTTCCGACTATCTGGTTCAAGAACTACTCTGGTAATGTTGCTATTAATGGAAACAGGAACTGGTGGTTCTGTCTGAATGACAATGTTAGCAGCTGTTGAAAACAAAAATTCAAATTACTAATAATACATTTTATTTGAGAAGTTTCAAATAATTAAAATATTTAATATGAAAATGAAAAAATATTCCAAATACATTCAATTGCTATCATTTTTGTTTCAGAAATACCTAACAGCAAGACATTATTATCACCTCCTTTAATAGAATATCCAGGTTTAAGACGTAAGTCAAAGGCAACCTCTAATATTGATGATACAGGTCAAGGATCATTGATGGATACAAAAAAAAATTGATGGAAGGTTGCTGGAACATAAGGTAATTCATGGAGTGCCAAAGCACCACTCTACAAATAACGTAATTCATAGAGCTCTAACAGTTATTACCTTAGGCAAGTGATCATATTTAGCACTATAATAAAAAGACATCATTTAAAACAATTTGTCTCCTGATTTGAGTCAATAAGAAGTTCATCACATCGACTGAACCTTGAGTATTACGCACTTATGATTTACTTACATGTGATAATGATGTTTGTTTCTATGAAATTATGTAATCTTAGGTACAAATAATAATATTTAAAAATAATGTTAATTGCAAGTGACTTTTTTTAAAGCACATATTTACATGGATATGTGCCTTTATAAGGACAGCAATCCAAATCCACTCGCAGGAGATTCCTCAGGAATCCAAAACCTCAGGAGAAAAAAATGAGACTGTTCCCATAAAGATTTATAAACTGAGAAACCAGGAGTAGTTCTACTCTCTCCAAAGCTATTGCTTTGAGTTGGAATTGACTAGCTGGCAGGGTGTTTGACTTTGGGTTTACATATTTATGAGTTCTTGATTGGTACAAAGACCTTGGTGGTACAGTGGTTAAGTGCTCAGTTGTCAACCCAGGTTCATGCTTCAAACCTACTAGCCACTCCATGCGAAATAGATGAAGTTGTCTGGTTCCGTAAATACAGTAAAAAAATCCTAGGAAAAAAGTTCAACTCTGCACTCTAGGGTCCCTATGAGGCAGAATTGATGATGACAGTGGTATACAAAACAATTGAATTGGAAGACTGGAATTTTTCCAAAAGCCTTTTCAAGCACCCCCACACCCACACTAGCAGAGGCAAAGCAACAGTGCACACTTGCAAGAGTGAATGTCTATAACTATATGCCACGAGGTTAACAGCTGGTGATTTAGGTGAAGGTACTCAAATGTCTGTTGTACTTCCTTTAGATGACAGGTTTAAAATTTGCAAACTAAAAAGTTGAGAGAATAATGAAAACTCCATATTATATTTGGCACCTTCCTTCCACTACAGTTAAAATTAAAATATGAGAAATTGAGTTTACATTGGGTTACCTGTGGGCAGAGAAAGCATGCTAAACATACAAAAAAACAGTAAGCGATAACACAAAACTTATGTCTGTTACAGCCTGAGCTATTTCTCCTAACTTCAGAAACCTCATCAAAAGTAAAAGCAGCAAAAAACAATATATGTAGGGACAGGTGCTGGGGCAAGAATGTGGTTCGGCAGAGGATGTACAACAGGGAACTGGAAACACAGGGAATCCAAGACAGATGATCCCTTCAGGACCAGTGCTGAGAGAGGCAATACTGGGAGGGTGGAGTGGAAAGGGGGAACCAATTACAAGGATCTACATATAACTTCCTTCCTGGGGAATGGACAACAGAAAAGTGGGTGATGGGAGACGTCAGACAGTGTAAGATATGACAAAATAATAATAGTGTATAAAGTATCAAGGGTTCATGAGGGAGGGGAAAAAGTGAGCTGAAACCAAGGGCTCAAGCAGAAAGCAAATGTTTTGAGAACTATGATGGCAACAAATGTACAAATGTGCTTGACACAATGGATGTATGTATGGATTGTGATAAGAGTTGTATGAGCCCCAATAAAATGACTAAATAAATTTTTAAAAAAAGAATGTGGGTCGGAGGTGTTATTTTCCAGTTCATCTGTGTGCAGTCAAGGAAATTATGAAAATTCTTACAACTCATTATTTCAACAGCAACTACAGTTCAGTAGTTATGCTTAGATCTTGCACATAATTAATAAAATAGAAACATGATACCAATGTTTTTAAGGCTTACATTTTCATAAGCCTAAGAGAAGGAACAACAATTCTTGTGATCACATCTAGTATTCCAGAATTTGAGATAACATTATCTAAACAAAGCAGCTTATCATTGCCACTTGGCATTGCCTGCTGGTGTTCTTTATTGAAGTGCGTTAAAACAAAGGAAGGAGATCTAACTAGAGTTTAAGTGGCTTGCCCAAGTTGACACAGCAAGACTGTGGTAATCACGCTATCTGACTTCTGAGATTATCTATGGATTGCCATGTGTAAGTGTATAAACAGACCAAGTTACTGATGGAAGGAAGACTTAAAATCATTAAGAACAAAAAGCTGATACCAAGAGGTCACGTAGAAAGAAAATGTTTTGAGAATGATGATGGCAACAAATGTACAAATGTGCTTGACACATGGATGGATGCATGTATTGTGATGAGTTGTACAAGCCCCCAATAAAATGATTTTTAAAAAATCACTAAGAACATGATCTTGAGAATGAGGGCAATGAATGTACAAATGTGCTTTATACAATTGACGTATGTATGGATTGTGATAAGAGTTGTATGGACCCAATAAAATGATTTCATAAAGAAAGAGAAAGAACATGATCTTCCCAATAGTTTCAAGTAAAGTATTAACATACACATGATATCACAGAGGGTGAGAGCATATTTTTTGGAATCACATGGGCCTGGGCTCAAACTGCAGTTCTTCCACTGTGGAACTTTGGGCAAGGTCTTCAATGTCCAAAGACTCAAGTGTCTTTACTTGCTGAAAGAATAAAAATCTTATCTCTTTTACAATATTGTATGGAATTTGAGAAAAGTACATGCAGAAATATTTGGTGTAGTCCAGATATAAAAACTAGTAGCTTATGGAGGGAGGGTGGGGTGGAAAGGGGGAACCAATTACAGGGGTCTACATATAAACTCCTCCCTGGGGAATGGACAACAGAAAACTGGGTGAAGGCAGAAGTCGGACAGTGTAATAAGGTATGACAAAATAATAATTTATAAATTATCTAGGGTTCAGGAGGGAGGGGGGAGCGGAAAGGGAGGGGGAAAAATGAGGAGCTGCTACCAGGGGCTTCCGTGGAGAGCAAATGTTTTGAGAATGATGAGGGTAAGAATGTACAAATGTGCTTTCTACAACTGATGGATGAATGGATTGAGGTAAGAGTGGTATGAGCCCCCGATAAAACGATCAAAACAAACAACTACTAGCTTATAATAGCAATTGTGGTACTGAAGATAGCGAAGAAGCATTAAAATCAGGATATGAAAGTGGGCAAGAATAAGAAAATCGTGAAACTGTCACACTGGCATTCTGGGGAGTTGTGGATGAATGACATTATCTATACGAAAAGCAGATGCATGCTTACATTTAATCTTAAATTTTGTTTTATTTTTAAGGTTTATGACTAAGATTTCACAGGTCCTATTACATGATCTTAATCATAAGTGCTAAAAATGATCACATGACAATTTTATTGCATAGGTTTTCAATGCTATTTTTATGAAGTACAGCTCTTGTAATACAAAATAAGCTCTTCAGTGATCAATTATTTGCGAGCAAGAGATTAAGTCTTTTTAACTTTTCTATATTCAATAGGTACTATAGTTCAGAAATTAAAATCTGACCACAAAAGCAATTAAGTTACAATTTTATTCTAACCAGAGCTTTTCAAGAAAAACTGGAAATAAGGTTATAGAAGTACAAATGGAAAAAATTGTAAGTGTTATACTTAATCTCAGAAAAATCTCAAGACACTTACCTCTTGGATTTGCATCCATATCTCCAGATGTTAGCCCAATCAGGTTTGGGCGTTGGGTCTGTGTTCTTGAAAAGAACTGTCTGTACTGAGATCTACCAGAACTGGTAATACTAGGAGCTTCTGGATTATAGCCATCAGGTTCATATGTATCTGAAGGGTACAAAACAAGTAACAAATCAGAGACAAGTTAAAACCATTTTTCATTACTAAAATATAGGCAATGGCTACATTGCTTTCTTAAACAGTTATATGCTTGGATACCTTTTAGATATGAACTAAGACTACTCATAAGCACTATACTGCTTAAGAGTAAACGAACACTACTATTCTTCAGTACTGATATCTTTTCATATTCATAAACCTAGTCATCTTTATCCTACATATTAACATTCCAAATCAAATGCCAATGTGTACATTTAAAGATAAATTTCATGAACACAAAGCGCCATATATGAAGGATTGGTTAAGTTGCCTATTATCTATCACATCTCATCAATTGGTATATTTCCTTTTGAATTAGCAACATTTAATTAAAAAGAATTCACTTTGTTATCTGAACTTTAACCTGGAGAAATGATGGTAGACTTCATACATAAAACATATTTCAAATGAAAAAGCTACAGTAAGATTAATTTTATATCTATAAATAACACCACTCTCTTCACCAATACCCCTTCAACATAAATTTCATGTTTTTATACAACTGAAAAACTTATTTTAAAATTTAGAACACAAAACAACTATTTCTTTAAGGTTAAAAAAATAAGGAAATGCTAGTCTCTACATGGTATATATCCTCTTCATCTGAAACAAAAGGTTAATGTTGCAGCAGCAAATTTTATCATAATTTAGAAATCTGTGCCTCTTTTTTTGTTTCCTAATGAAAAAATTCCTTTTGCGGTTCATATTGTTTCAGTTTATATGTGCGATTCAGTGTATTAGGTCAGCAAATTATGATGAAAAGATTTCAGATACGATTGCATCTCTTAACTAATATGTTACAACTCCAAACAGTATTAACGAAGTTATATAATCAAATGACCTTGTTCTAGAATTCCTGTGAATACACGAACCCTAAAAAATTTAAGTCCAAAAAACAAAACAAAACAAATCAGTTCTTTAATTAACTATGATGAACTAAGAGCTGTTGGCAAGTGACACATCTTTGAACACTCATGAGACACCCACAGAGCACTCCATAATTTCTCAAAAGCACATGTGCATAGGAGAAGAATTTTCACAAATCCTACATTATATACAAGCAGTCCATACATATTAACAATGGTCAGAGGTGAAAGACATAATCATCCATAATCAGCAAGAAACGGGTGTTTCACATTTTATTTTTTAAAAGAATAATTGACCTAGCTTTTTCGTAAGTCATAACTGACTAGAAAAAAACAAGTCAATATTATGCTCCTATCTATCTGATAAAAAAGAACTCAATGAGCTAGCTTGGCTTTTGTTACCGAGGTACTGAAAATAAATACAGAGGACACCAGAGATGACAGACACACAGGGGGCCTAATCATCTAGCTGTCACTAGGGACAAACCAAAGAAGCAAAGAAACAGAAAATAAAACTAAGAGTGATTAAAAACAACAACAACAACAACAACAAAAACCCTAAGAGCTACAGTGGGAATTTGTAGTAGCAGATCAGAATAATTGGCCACCTCTTAAGCTGGTCAAACTAGATGGCCACCTGCAGCACAGCTTACCTGGGACCAGAGGGGTGGGGCTGGAGACTGAGGTATGATACCCAATGGAGGATCCCATGAGGTTTCGAGGTGGCACCAAACGAGCTGCCAACAGAGGAGGTGGTGTCCCCAACTGAAGTCGCTCAGATGCAGCAGCACCATGTTCACGAGAATACATGGGCTGTCCTGCAGAGGAAAGAATAGGAGGGCAGCTGGAATTGAAAGTCACAAGCTTCTCTTAGGTAATAAGATAGTTCCTGACAATTTGAGCCAAGAACAGAGAAACTACACAAAAGGGAACAGTAGATGAGAAAGATGTTACTGAGATTCTAACTCAAGAAAGAATAGGCATACAAGTGCTAAGGATGTACAATAGTATAAAGCTATAGTAAGAATGGCTAATATGCGTGTATAATCACCACCTATATATAATGTAATTACAAAATAATCATGTGGTAATTTCACTTGACACCGAAAATCAATTATATTATTACACAAAGGAGCCCTGAGTTGTTCTTAATATAGAATTCTGTATGCAATGAGATATGCAGATATGTAGTACACATTAAAAGAAAACTCTTCACAGCCTACACAATTTCACGTTTGTATAAAATGTACTCCAATATCTGGAATAATAATGCAAAAATTAAAAAATAAAAATATGTGTCAATATGGCCTTATAAAGATTAAGAAATGTTCAAAAGAAAAATATAAGTAAGGAAGATAGTGATAATGTGTTAGCCGATTGAGAAGGTGGGTAACAGGCAGATAAAATGCTTCTAGACAACTATGATAATGAAAAAGATAAAAACCGTTATCAACAATCCCATCACTGCATATATGAAATTGGCGTGGATATTTCATTTTGAAAAAAAGCACATTTAAGATTTAAATATATAGATGGTTTAAATATAAAGGTGGCAAATTTTATAGAGCAGGCTTCAAAAAAGACAAGATATGAAAGAGCAAAATCCTCCCTTTTGTTGGCTATTTCTAACCGTATCTTTTTCACTGTCACATATGAAGCATATTATAAGATTTAGTAAACATGTTATATTCAAAGCCAGACATTCACTATGTGGCACAAGACAAAATAAATAAATAGTTTTGTTTTTACTCCATAGGAAATGTCTTTAAAAGTATAAAATCCCTAATGATTTTAAGAAGGTAGGCAAGGCTACCACCTGATTTCATAGTAAATGCTGAGAAAATGGATGTGCTAACTTTCATTATACTTCTCTTCCTACAGATGGAGCAAAAAATGTGCTAACAAAGGCATCATATTGTATAGTAAACTCTTTCTGTGTAGTTTAAGACCAACCCCTCAACCATTCATTACATTGCAAAAACAATTTTAACATATGTTCAACAATCTGAAGATAATTATAAGCTTGACTTATTATAGATAATTTTATGCCAACTGACCTATCAAAAAATAAAGTAGCATACTAAAGAAAAAAAGGGGAAGGAACTACAATCTCAGTCTATATGGCTATATTTAAATGTATGGTACAGCGCTCAATGTGGTCTGTAAAGTAGTACGTTATATAATTTGGACATTGCCTAAATATAAGCACAAACATCCCTAAATATAAGAAATTACTGCATTCACTGGTTTTCTACCTTCTTGTTGCTTAAATAACCTTGTTTCACTTTCAAATTGATATTTCTCCTTTATTTCTTTCTACTGCATTTGGGAAGCATGATGTACTTCTTGGTATTCTTTTTATCTCCAAAGGAAAATTATACAAAGGTCATGTTAGACCACTAAAAAGAGATGCATGACAGAGGATATTGGAGCATCGAATATTACTACCACACAGTAAAGTTCTTATTTTTAAGGATGTAAGTTCACATTAAAGTAATGTAAGTATAGTGCTCGCTTCAGCAGCACATATACTAAAGTAATGTAAGTATATTGTATGCATAACCAGTAACATAGGTCTTTATTATAACTATCAAAACACAGGTATCATGGTTATACATATGCTGTGTCATTACGCAACTGCAAGCCCAATCATTCTGTATTACAAGACCCGAGATAGACCTATTGTGTATGGGAAGCTATGGGTTTCAATTAAATCCAGTTATGTCTACTATACCTCATTCTCTGAGATTTCTGAACCCTATTATAACCTTATGGAATTACAGATATATATGCAGGCAAATGTTGTCTATACAGGTATGTATGACACATTAACTAATAATCCCGTTTCCCCAAAAGTAAGACATCCCCCGAAAATAAGACCTACTTACAGTTTTGCCTCTCACTGAGATATAAGGCATCTCTACGAAAATAAGACCTACCCGAAAATAAGGCCCCCTGAAGCTACCGTTAACTCTGGACTCTGGACCTTGGGGGCGGGCACCGCCGCGCAGCTCACTGTTGGCCGCAGCACAGCCGGAGCAGATGGGAAGTGAGAGGTCTCTTTTAATAAAACAATAAACAATAAATGTGTACCGTATTCTTCTTCATGGAAAAATAAGACATCCCCTGAAGACCTAGCGCATCTTTGGGAGCAAAAATTAATATAAGACACTGTCTTATTTTCGGGGAAACGGTCTTAAAAGGCTACATTGCACAGTATCTTTTTTTAAATGAATTACAAAGAACATGCATCCAAACACTTCAGAAAGATGGCTGTTTACTCAAATGAAGCAGGCTTTTCTTTTGAAACGTCGATTATGATCTCTAATACTACTTCTCAAAGAACCAAGATTCCCTAGACAAAAGGTTTTAGGTCAAGGCAGAAACCATGTAAGATGAGCCTGATACAGCTTGGTACACTTGGTCTTTCCAGAAGAAAGACAGCTAAAGACTCTGGCACCATGTCACAAAGAAAAAAATTAAAGAAAGAACAAAAAACTCCAAAGGCCATCATGAAGAGGTTCTGACTGGTCAAGAGAAAACTTCTGATTTGACAACAGCAATCAGAAAGAATAGAACAGAAAACTTTAGGGCAGTGAGCTTATGTTAATGAAAGAGAAATAATTTGTTTTGGAGAAGAGTGAAAGTAGTGACAGAACTTAAGTAATCAATGTCACTAAACTATTGATAGAAATTGTTGAATTGGTTTATGTCCTGTGTATGTTCTCAACAACAAAAAGAAAACTCTTATTTAAATCAGGAAATTTGAGCATCAAAAAAGAACTGTAACAGAGGTGAAACTTTTTTTTTTAATTTCATGATTTAATTATGATACTTCAAAATCAAAAAGACATCACTACCTTTTGAAGATACTAGAGAATCAATTCAGTATTCTGAAAATTGTTATATGGAAGAAAATCAAACATTTATCCTTTTTCCTGTAAAAACTGCATTACATGATAAGTAAACGATTGCTGTTACCAAGTTTTTCTTTATAGAATCCCAATCAATAAATGCACATGGAATGATTAAATTAAAATGTCAGTTTTCTGAACCTCGATAGCTATGTAAGAACAGCCCTAATGGTACTGTTGGTTAAGTGTTAACACTTCTAACACAAAAGGTCAGCAGTTCAAACCCATCTGCTGCTCCACAGAAGAAAGAAGGTTTTACAGCGGAAATGTACATTTGGGACTTTTCTAAAGTAGCTGAGTCAAGTGTAGGTTATAGATGAAGTAAAATTAATCATAGATTGAGAAGTAAGAAAACTCCAGAATATAATTCAACTGTTTTAGTCATTATAGAGAACAAATATTCCCAACTTGCAAATATCCCAATTTACCCAAGGTGATATTGAACTTGTGTATCTTACATACACGTTACATATACATGTGAACTAACATGTTACCTTAATATTACTTGTTACTTAATATTAACTGTTACTTAAAATTAACATGTTACTTAATGTATTAACTATAGTCAGTTGAAGACAGCTATTAATCACACTAAAATTTTAGGCACTTTTTAATAATTTTTCAGTTTTTTGTGTTCAGGGGTACATTAGAAGATAAAATTTAAAGTGAAATTTGAAGTCTTTAAAAATAAAGACAAACAAGTTAAGCCTTCCAACTACTGACATATTTTCTCGAACCCCAGGGCCTAAACAGTGCCTGTTACATAATAAGAATTCAATATAATCCCTGAAAGAGATAAAAATAGATTAAAAGTTCCCAAAAGACAAAGAAGTAATTTTCTAGTTGAATATCTATATGCTAAGATAGGCAACAACATACCAGCTAAAACAATACAAATCAAGGTAAAATATGAGGGAAAATTCTAGATAATATACAAGGACTCTATTAGAAAATAACTCACTTTTCCAAAAACCAACATCAACTACTATGGACGGAAGGATGCTATCAATTAATTAAATGAGGAAATGTCAAGTTTGAGAATACAGTGTTTTTAAGATTTTACTTAGCTGATAATAGGTAAAGTATATTTGAAAGCTAATGATTATCAGAATTCATTCGAACAGTCTCCAACCTCAGAACCATTTGCTGGAATCTTAGATGTTATACACTACTCTCACATGTTTCTAAATATCCAGGACAATGAGCTGAGCAGTTACAAAACATTCCCATTTTCACCTCTTCCATTTAGCAGAAGAAAGGAACCAAGTTTAAAGAAGAGAAGTATATATATTAAATACATGCTCAACATTTTCTACCAAAAAAGGGTTTTAAGAAAACACTAAACTGATTTCATTTTCAGTAAAATACTTTAGAAGATTTTAATTAGTAAGACATCACTGTTTTCCCATATATGTGTAATTACAAATCACATCATTTTCATAGACTTTGTGACATTTTAACTCAACCCAAAACCAAAGTAACAAAAAGTTATTTTTCAAAAATAAAACCATTCAATGTTGATGTTTAAATTGCATTATCAGATACCACATATGCCTTACAGTTAAGTAATGGCGATAATTCTTTTTCTTCTTTTAATATGCAACCATATTTTCCCAAAACAAGTAATAATTATTATCTACGTAAAGGTTAAATTTTTGGCAAAATTAGTTCCTTTGTCACCTATTGACACTGTTCGTTTACTTAGCTATAACAGCAAAATGCACTATAGCTGGTTTTTTGTTTTTACATGTTTCTTTCTGACTAATAAGTATTTCTTTACAACTCTCAGGAGCCCTGGGAGCTCTAATGGATAAGCAGGCACTCCCGTAAAAGTTGACAAAGCCTCAGAAACTCTGCGAGGGTCACTATGAGTCAAAGTGACCTCACAGCAGTGGGTATTAGTT